CGGTGCCAATTTTGGGTAAGTTATCAAATGACGACTTCATGATGAGGAACGGTTTCGGATGTCCAGACACGGCAGACACGACGAGTAGAAATATCCATAGTATTTCTAAATAAATATTTAACATGTACATATGTATGTAATTCAGATTAACGAGTGAAGCAATTTTGCATAATTCTGAAAATATCAGACACAATTAAAATGATTACTTGTAACTGCGTGACTGGATTCCATCAAGCGCCGGGCAGCCATCTTGACAATGTGACCACGGTTGAAATCATACACAAAACAAGCACGGAAATAATTAACGTGTTTCTAAAAAAAATTGTCCCCATTATGCATAGCGTTACATCCCCACTCTCTCGATACCGTTCATTGTCACGTTAATTTTTTACACAACTATCCAAACTTGTGGTTTCCTCTCAAATTAAAATTACTATTGTATTGTTAATTTTAAATCGATATTTTCGACTTTATGCAGCTATAATTACACTGATATTTTTTTTGAAAAATTTCTTTCTCAAAATATTGCAGAAGGACATAAATAATTTTGTCATGTGCGAAAGGTGAAAGGGGGGCGTACTTCTCCAGGTGATAGGGTGCCTGTTAGCCATATTAGTGGAAGGAGGGGGTCTAGAAATTCGCGATTTCTTTTATTCTATGCCTATAATTTATTAATGTTATAATAATCGTATAATTTATTAATGTCCCAAAGTAACACAATTTTAGACTAAAATTTTATCTCACATTTTTGCGAAATTAATAAATACAAGGACAAGTATGTATGTACATATATACATAGCATAAGTCCATGGATGTATGCATATAATCAAAATTGCGAAATTATATGTCTATTATTTTAGACAAAGCCTCTAAATGACGTAAAAATTAGCTAAAATATTTTAAAGGAAATCTAAAAGCTCGTTCTCATTAATTTTAGAAAAATCCGAAATAACCATTAGAATGGTTTATTTCATGCAGAACTGCATGAAATAAAAATTCGCCAATTTTTTCCAAGAGAACTAAAAATTCTGAATTCACTTTTGTGAATCCGTTTGCAAGTAAATTTTGTTTGCGTATCTACCACTACTTCAATATTTCCTATTAAAATATGCAAATTATAATAAAGTACAAAAGAATTTACTTACCACTATTTTCTAAAACTGCAAAATAAGTATTTATACTTCAATAATTTCCAAGGCGAACTTCTTCCGCTAAAGAAATGGAAACGTTTCCGTCCTCCACGTACAATTGCGTAACTTTTGTCCAGCCTCAAAAATGGTGGCGAGATGAATCATCAATCATCCCTGGAAAACCTTCCTTCTCTAAAATGACGTAAATGAAGGCACGCAGGGAAGAGATGCGTTTGTTGGAAGGTTCAATCAAACAAACTCTTATGTAGATAGCATATGAAGGATAAGTAAATATGTATGCATGTGTTCAGAAATCGTCTAATACATCTTTTGCTTAAATAAGAAGCCCCGAAGACAGCGGGGTAAGGAGATATTCTTTTGTTGGGCAGATATGCACATACATAAAAACGGATGGAAAATTCATAGTTCATGCAATAAGTAACGAAGGGTGGGGTCGGGGTATTGCGTTACAGAACAAAGCTCCCCACACGTTAGAAACGAAGTGAAACCCGTAACTTGGGGCAGGGATGGGTAAAAATCGCCAATTTTGCGGAAAATTTATTTTCGTTGGATGGTATAAAATAAACCCAGGCAGGATCAGTGATGGGCGGCCTCGGCCTCTTTGAGGCCATTTTTTGTGACCTCAGGCCTCGGCCTCGGCCTCTTTGAGGTCGAGGCCAGTGAGGCCTGAGGCATACTCTTTGAAAATTAGAGAGGCCGAGGCCGACCTCGCTGAGGCCTGAGGGTCAAGATGTGAGGCCGAGGCCGAAATCATGAGGCCGAGGCCTGGAACTTTTTCAGCGAGGTCGAGGCCAGTGAGGTCTGAGGCCTTCTCTTTGAAAATTGAAGAGGCCGAGGCCGACCTCGCTGAGGCCTAAGATTTTCGAGGTGAGGCCGAAGCCGAGGCCGTGTGAGGTCATAGGCCTCAGTGTATATTTAAATGGAGAGGCCGAGGCCGACCTCGCTGAGGCCTGAGGTTCAAGGTGTGAGGCCGAGGCCGAGGCCTGGAGCTTCCTTGACGAGGCCGAGGCCAGTGAGGTCTGAGGCCTTCTCTTTGAAAATTGAAGAGGCCGAGGCCGACCTCGCTGAGGCCTAAGATTTTCGAGGTGAGGCCGAGGTCGAAATTAAAAGGCCGAGGCCTCTAGTTTTCTCAGCGAGGCCGAGGCCATGTGAGGTCGTTGGCCTCATTAAATTTTTCGAGAGGCCGAGGCCTCGTGAGGTTGCCCATCACTGGGCAGGATGCATGTATGCAGTTAAGATGAACAATATAAAGTTGAGGGGGACGTGCGTGAAAGACATTATGGATTTGTTTGTCAAATATCCAACTCTGGAAACATAAATATGTTTATGTATTTAATTAGCATGTTAAGGATTACAATATTTAACGTTTTTTGCAAAAAAAATAACGCCATGTTTTATGCGGGGTCCTTAAAAGTGCCCAGATTTTCATACAGATCAAACATGTTGTTGTAAATGATAATGATAAATACCACAAATTTACATAACATCACGCAAACACAAAATGAAATAAGTAAATCAATACAAAATTATCTCACCAAGTTTTACTTTTATTATATAAAAATCCATGTCATTCTACCATACATCAAATTTAAGTAAAATACTCCTAATAAGTCAGTTTAATAATTATTCTATGAAAGCATGCTTTTGTTGATATCAAAAAATCACCTGGGTTGTGTGTAAGCTAATTAAACTTAGGAAATTAAAATTGCTTGCATTTCTCCTTATTGCATTTATTTACATATTATGGAAATTATTGGTTAACTAATAGATTAATTTTTTTATTAAATATTTGCAGCTTCACAAATTCTGAAAATTCCTCGAAAAATGGAACATATTTGCTACCTAAAGTCGTGCACGCAAGTATGTATGTAAATATGTGTATAAATACAAAAGGGGGCTTACGTAGGTGTAAACGAATTTGACCTTGAATAACCCCGGAACGGTTTGTCGTAGCGGGTCAAAATTTTGAACAGAGGAGCATGTTATCCTCAGATGGGGGTGTGCAAAAATTCAACTCTCTACTTCCAAAATTGCCTCCCCCACAGCCCCCAGAAGTTGAAACAGTCATTTCAACTCTTTCCAAACTCCGTCTAAAAAATTCGGTCTGCGCAGAAAAACTTTCGTTTCAAGTATACGAACCCAACGAAGTCAATTTGACTTACATTGGGGGATTGTACAGGTATTTCACTATTCGAAATGATTTTTCTCTCCAATCTAGCTCCAAGGTCCTTTGCATAATCTTAGGTCAACTTTGCCGTCTGGAAAGACGCTGCATCATGATGAAAAATCACCTTATTTATTAAGGGGTGAAAGCCCTTTATAAGATCGTTATGTCCGTCTGTCTGTCCGTCCGTCCGTCCGTCCGTCCGTCTGTCTGTCCGTAGCTCCGATAACTTTTGAACGAAAAGACATAGACACTTGAAATTTTGAACGTAAACTCCTAACGTCAATGGACAGGACGAGTTCGAAGATGGACACTGTGACATCGTCACCTGTGACGATGACGTCGTCACAGTGACGAAAAGTGACGAAAAAGTGTCACGTGTCAGTTTTGACATGTGACACATCATTTTTAACTATTTTTCAATGAGGAATTCGAAAATTCATGTCATTTTGCGGTTGGACGTCACCTGTGACGATGACATCGTCACGGTGACGAAAAGTGACGAAAAAGTGTCACTTGTCAGTTTTGACATGTGACACATCAGTTTTAACTATTTTTCAATGTCAAATTCAATGGTGACCTCCATTTTGACCTCAGAGGTCATGTAAAGGTCATAGGACATATCTATTTCAATTTCAACTGAAATTTAACCCCAAATTCAATGGTGACCTCCATTTTGACCTCAGAGGTCATATAAAGGTCATAGGACATATCTATTTCAATTTCAACTGAAATTTAACCCCAAATTCAATGGTGACCTCCATTTTGACCTCAGAGGTCATGTAAAGGTCATAGGACATATCTATTTCAATTTCAACTGAAATTTAACCCCAAATTCAATGGTGACCTCCATTTTGACCTCAGAGGTCATATAAAGGTCACATAAGGGTTATCAACTGTTAAATTTGACACAAATAAGACACAAAAGTCGAAAACACGTCAGAAGTGTCAATCTTAACAAATTTTCGAACAATTTGATATTCACATTGACGTATGACACTCCTTTCACCCCTTGGTTACATGCGTTGTAACGGTTTATTTACCGTACAATTTAGGAAGATGTTATTCTAAAAGTGGTTTGCATAGACGGTGCACATAATACTTTGCAGATATTTTCACTTTTTGGGGGACTTTGATAAGTGAGAGGACACCACGACCGGACATTGCACCCTCCACCATAAACTGTTTAAAAAAGTTCTCCTTACTGGGAAGCACCAACTTGCGTGAATTGTTTTCGACATTGGTCGTGTAGTAAGCACTTCGAACCCAATTAGTATTTTGTAGAGAAATTACTGCTTCGTCAAATGTCACAAATAACTCACTCTGATTCCTTCACAGAAAATTCGAATAATTTTTTTTGTAAACACGGGCGCGATTTTTTTCTGCTTTTCGGTCAGCTGATGCATACGACTTTTCCGACGACGTCGTTTCTTCAAAATCTAAATTTCTCCTTTCACCCAACGCTTACACACCCCAACCTTACGGAAAATTTTTATTTAAATTTTATTTAAATTTTATTTAAATTTTACGGAGAGTTTTTATGGGTGTCTCAGCTTCTGGGGGCTGTGGGGAGGCATTTTTGAAAGTAGAGAGTTGAATTTTTGCACACAACTACCTGAGGATAACATGCTCGTCTTTTCAAAATTTTGACCCGCTACGACAAGTCGTTCCGGGGTTATTCAACGACAAATACGTTTACACTTACGTAAGCCCCCTTTTGTAATTATAATTTTTTGAAAACTTTAGCTAAGAAATAATTCCAACAATTGACTCATAAATATTCTAATATGCCAATTAGTGCAAACTTATCGCTACAGTGGAACTGGTTGTGTAGTTATTTAATCGGTGCTCAAGGTTCCCATTGCGCAATAGAGTGCCCCTAAGAATAAGTAAAATCGAGTCCAACCAGCCACCGAGATGGCACCCTTAGAAACGGAGGTGAAATTTTGGGAAGCAAAATTATTCTCATCAAAAACATGGGAATTATTAGACAGCGCTTGCCTCAAGTAGTCCGCAAAGGATGAATGGTCCTCAAGTGTGGGAGGACTTATTGGAGTCTCGCTGGTCAAAAGGGGGCGCTTAGTAACCCGGGAAAATTTACCAGGTCTGAGGGTAAAATTATGCAGGCTGGGTTTAAGAATACGCCAGCCGGGTTCAGTAATTGGGTAGGAGATATTTTTTGGGCGTGGTGGTGGTAGTGGTAGAGGTGGTCGGCTTAGTTGTTGGGGAGGGGGTCGTACGCTGGAAGATATCAGTTTGCTGGAAGGGATTTAAGTTCGGGAAGGAATTTACATGTGGGAAGGGATTTGATTGCGGGAAGGGATTTGACTGACGGAAGGAATTTGAATGCGGGGAGCGATTTGAATATGGGAAGGGATTTGCCTGCGGGAAGGGATTTGAGTGCGGGAAGGGATTTGAGTGCGGGAAGGGATTAGTACGCAAAAATGGGTTAGTATTTTGATGGCTGATAAGTGTTCCGTGAAAGGTAGGGATCTGTGGTCGGACATTTATACCGGTGCCAATTTTTGGGAATGACGATCTCGTAATCACGAAGGGTTTCGGATGCCCAGACACAGCAGACAAGACGAACAGAAATATCCAGAGTATTTCTAAATAAATATGCAGTTCAGATTAATGAGTGAAAATGGTTTTGCATAATTCTAAGAACTGTTAATTAAACACTATTAAAACTTTACTTGTCATTCCGCGATCTGACTTTATCGTGGATCGGGCAGCCATTTTGAGCATGTGATCTCGGTTGAAAACCTACAATAAACAAGCCAGGATTTGATTAACGTTTTCCGAAAGGGTAAAATTGTCGCAATTTTCTTAACCTCCGTGCCCAAAATATCGTGCACAGAAAATAAAAATACATACAATTTTCGCATGGAAAAAATAAAATTCATTATAATTAATTTTAGAAAAATCCGAAATTATCATTATGAAATAAAACTTGTCAAAATAAAGCTTAAAAGCTTAAAATACGTGTTTTAAAATTTATTTTAAAGATAACAAAAATCAGCATTCAGATGGACAGTGTATATTTTTTCAAAATATTTCCCTCATTTCGCGTAGGAATGTAATTAAATAGATAAAATTTTACACATTTTTTGTTTAATTCTGTAAAGCAATTTAATAAATACAAAATAATGATTTAGATCATTCTTTCTGGGGAGCCACGATTTTGAGAATTTTGAGACTCAAAATGAAATGATTTTAACGATACGTTCGTTAATTATAAATTAGTCTAAAAGACTAGCCACATTTTTATTAAATATAAAAACTTAGATATTTGTTTGAATTTTTATAGATTTTACTTTACAGAAGGGTTTTATGAATCGTGTCATAATTTTACTTTATTTAAGTCTTTACTCCTAGCTTCGACAATTTGGTACCAATATATTTAAAATACGTAAATTATAATAACGTAAAAAAATAACTTGTTACCTTTTTCCAAAACTGCAAAATAAGTATTGTAAAATTTCCAGGGAGAACTTGCTGCTTGAATTAACGGAGACAGACTAGATACTTACTTCCTCCACGTACCCTTGCTTAGCTTTTGTCCAGCCTTAAAAATGGTGGCGAGATGAATCATCACTGATCAGTGATGAGTCATCACCGGAACAGATTTGTCTTCTAGGAATGAAGACACGCAGGGACGGGGTGGTAGCTGGAGCGTTGGGCTAAATAATGATACCGTACATAAATACTCTATTTATAGCCCCGAAAATAAAAATAAATAAACAATAAATGTATGTAAATATATGTAAATAGACGTGTATGGTGACCAAGATTCCAAAATTGTAGCCCGGTCCCTAATTATGGTTTGTCTTGTTCCATACGTTCTCAGAAAAAATGTCGCATATACAGGGTGATTTAAATGCCATTCTACAATTTGAAATTTTTCAATAGAAAATGTGTATTCGTAAATTTTCATTAGCTACCAAAATTTTTTCTCTGAAATTGAATATTTTAAGAATTTTGTCATCCGTGGTCCATCAGACCAATGAAGATCCAACTCATCACCAGAGGTATGCATGGTGAGAAGGACCGTCAGGGATTGAGAATCAGATAGTTAATCTGATATCTATTGACATTAAAGGATTATTTTCAATTTCAGTTTTGATAATAATAATTAATAAAAATCCCAATCCTAAATCATGTAAGTAATGGAGATTTAGGGGCTTTTCTCACTGAAATATTTTCCATTGTAGCGTGACATTTAAGCCACCCTGTAAATATATGTCAGCCAGCAATCACGGTTTTAGCAACCCCTTGATCACGGTATTTTCATATGGATGAGAAAAGCTCAACTTAATATTTCATATGTATCTGGAGCGATGTGATTATGTAGGGCATCGTAACTCGTCATTTCCGATTTTACCAAACAAATAATTGCAAATCCATTGTATGGTTTATCAGTGCTCCGAATTCGATTCGATTCGAACTATCCTACTCGAGTTGAAAAAAAGCTTAAACACGAGTAGGATAGTTCGAATCGAATCGAATCCGGAGCACTGTGGTTTATGAATGCAAAATTAAACTCATCGCAAATTTCACCATTGACGAAATTATGAATTTTGGCCGGAATAAGATATATTTTCGTCGGAATGTATAAAATAAACCCCGTCAGGATGCATGCATGTATGCAGTTACGATGTATGTACAAAGTTAAATTGAGGGGGACGTGCATGGAGGACATGAATTTTTACCAAATAACCAAATCGAGATACACAAACATGTATAAATATGGAATTAACCTGGTAAGAAGTGCAATATTTGACCGTTTTTTAGGCAAATTAATCCCATATTTTATGCACGGTCCTTAAAAACTATAGATTTTCAGGCATATTTAACATTTATGTAATTGTAGTAAATGATACCACGAAATTGACATAAAATCATGCAAACACAAAATTAAATAAATAACCAATACAAAATTATCTCATCAATTTTTAACTTTATGACAAAAAAGTCCATGCAATTCCACCACCCATCAAAATTACATCCAAGTAAAAGAGTCAAACATTATTTTAATAATTATTCTATGAAAGCGTGTAAATTATTTTATTGACATAAATAATCACCTGTGTAAACTCATTAAACTTATAAAATTGCACTTGCATGCATTACTCCATATTGCATTTAATCAAATATTATTGGTTAACCCCGCTTGTCAATTTTTTGGGTTTTGTGCAGGTTCACAAACTCAAAAAATTCCTCGAAGAATAATAAATATTTGCTCTCCAGGTCATGCACGTGAGTAAATATGTACATCCATACATAGCGAGCCTACTTTTTAGAAGATTTTAGCTAACCCATGTATAATTCAAACAAGTTGCAAATAATTGATTCTGTAATTTGGGAAGTTTTTCTGAAGTTGATTTGAAGCTTCTCAAACTCTCAAAATTCCCCCAAGATTTGTGCAAATTTCCTCCCCAAGTCGTGCATGCAAATAAGCAAATATGTACATATATAGCGAGCCAAATTTTTAGAAAATTTTGGCTAAGCAATAATTCGAAAAGCTTGCAAACAATAGATTCTGTCACGTAAATATTTTAATCAGTTAATTATGACACACATCTCCAGCGCAACTGGTTGCTTAGTCGGTAAAAAAGGTTCCCACTGCCCAGAGCAAGGCACCCAAGAACACAGCAAATCCGGTCACCTCTCCTGAGCCAACCCCGTTCGAAACCGAGGTAAGATTCTGTGAAGTAAAATCATCCTCATCGAAAATACGGGAATTATTAGACAGCGCTTGCAACAATTCGTCCGCAAAGGATGGTTCGTCCTCCTGGGTGGGGGGAAGAGTTATTGGAATGTGTTCGGAAACTAGGGGGTGTTTTTTAACCGGGGAGTCTTTAGACGATGGGAAGGTAAAAGTACGTCGGCAAAGTTCACCAATTCGGCAGGGGTTAAAACCCCACCCGGGTTTAGTGGTTGGGAAGGAGTTATTCTTGTTTGGGGAGGGCGTGGTAGTTGTAGAGGTGTTGGCCGGCGTAGGTTTTGGGGAGGGGTCCACACGCGGCACGACTTTGGTGCCCTGAGTATGCCGAAAGGGGTCCGAGGGCCGAAAGGGATCCGAGTGGCGGAAGGGGTCAGAGGACAGAAAGGGATCTGAGTGCCGAAAGGGATCCAGGGGCCGAAAGGGATCCAGGGGCTGAAAGGGATCGGGGTGCCGAAAGGGATCTGAGTGCCGAAAGGGATCCGTGTGCCCGAAGGGATCTGATTGCATAAACGGATTAGTATTTGGATGGTTCATAAATGGGGTTTGAAACATAGGGGTCTGAGACTGTCCGATGGAAATACCCCCGGTATTAAATGGAGACTGCATAATCCCGAAGGGTCTCGGATGTCCGGATACCGCAGCCAAGACAAGCAGAAATATCCAGACTATCTCTAAATAAGTATACAATTCAAATCAATGAGTGAAAGCGATTTTGAAAAAATTTTGAAAATTGTTAATTAAACACAATTATTTGAAATATTTACTTGTCAATTCGCGACCTGATTTCATCTCGCACCCGGCAGCCATCTTAAGGGTGTGACCTGGGTTGAAAACCTATAAAAAATAAGCGAGGATTTAATTAAGGTTTTCCAAAATAAAAACTGGCCCCATTTTCGTAATCACTGTGCCTTAATTATCGCAAATAAAAATATAAATTAGATTTACCCCCAAAGGAAGAAAATTAAACTAGTTCGAAATAATTTTAGAGAAATACTAAATGACCATTATGAAAGGAAAATTCTCCAAAATATTTTTGAAAGAAAGCCGAAAAGTTTTTAATGCTTTAAAATTTATGGAAAATATGTACTTACATATAACAAAATGCAGCATTCATTCCAACAGTTTAAAATTATTATTTTGTCAATATTTTTGTTGTACTTTGCCACAGTTTAAAAAAAATATGCGTGTAAAAATGTACTACATTCTTACGTGAAATGAGAGAAATTTTTCGAAAAAAATATAAAGTTCCCGGTACGAAAATTGAGGTCAAAGTGGGGAAGCGTTGGGGTAAATTATGTATCATCCACTGGACATAAAAACTAGGAGGATCTGTGAAATTTGTCACATTTTTGACTTGTACGAATCCAGGCGTAGTTTGGAAAAAGGTTCAATTGTTGCTAGAATATATTTAGAAAATGCATTTTTGCAATATGCAAAACACAGGTTTTGCCATAAAAAAGCGAAACATATTTAAAATCTGGACGTATGTACATAGGACTGACTGACATAGCAAAATACAATTTGTAATTTGAAAATTTGTAACAATTTCCGAGGTTTCGGGTTTTATTTTAAAATTCTGACTATTTTAAAATTTTTATGGCAGATCGATGCCAATTAAAACAAATGTATACATTCAGATTTTGGCAGTTGTTCCAGGAGTAGATCTCAAGTTGAAGTAAAATCTTCATAAAAATTGAGACTAATCGAAACTGGGCTACTCAAAATGAGACAATTTTGACATGATTTTCACGCTTTTGGACTCAAGTAAATGAGACGTAGGTACATAAATTATAAATTAGTCTAAAAACTCGCCAAACCTTTATTAAATGTAAAAACTTGCAAATTTATTTATATTTTCGGACTTTACTTTCAAGCAAGTTTTTCGAATCGTGTCATAATTCTACTTTCTTAATTCCTTACTAATCTCACCTTCTAAATAATTAAAATTTTCAAATAATAAAGTAAAAAAATAACTTAAATATGTAAATATTACCGTTTTCCAAAGCTGCAAAATAACTATTTGACAATTTCCAGGGGAAAATTTGCTGCCTGAGTTAACGAACTTACGGAGACAGTTTGCATCCTCCACGTACAATGACGGATGTAGCTTTTGCCCTGCCTTAAAAATGGTGGTGAGATGAATCATCAGTCATCACCGAATACATTTTCCTTCCAGGAATGAAGACACGTAGGGACGGGGTGGTTGCTGGAGGGTTCGAGTAAATAAACATACTCTTATTATATTACGCATTATGTAACACGGTATGCATGTATTTATGTATTTACAAGTCATCTAATGTAATCTTTTTAAATGAAAGCCCCGAAGAGAGAGAAAGAAGAAGATCTCGTTTTGGCCGGAGAGATGTATGTATGTACAATCATAAAAACGGGTGGAGAATCCAATTGTATACATACATAAATATGTACCTAGTACTCGCAAAAGTTCTGTTATAAGATTTCCCGGGTAAATTAAGCAGGTAAGGCAATTTTTTAGGAGGTTGTACTATTTTTTATTGAAATCTCCATGCAATTTACCGTCAGAAACCATGTTTCGAAAACTTTTGTGACCCCAGGTGAAAAAATGATAGATGGCCAAACATGGCATATTTAAATTTTTCAGCAACATTTTAGCGAACGTAAAAAATTGACACTTTTAAATTGTTCAATAAAAATCGGAATTGATTGCAAGATGGTCGACCGTACCATAAAATGATGCAGTGACACTGGCAGTGTCGACGACGGAAAAAGACGTGGAAGTGAACGGCTAAAAAGGTCACCAAAATTGACGAAGGCGCGAAAAAACTGGATTCGCCCGAATCCATGCCGAGCCCTAAGAAAATTTCCCTCACAAATGAATGGATCAAGTAAAAGTAAGTCCCGGGCCCTTAATGTAAACCTTAGACTTATATCTTCAAAATTTGAGGAGAACTGCTTGTTAGCTACACGCCAAGTGAAAACAGACCCATCAGAACCCGGGTGCTGATCACGCGGTACGCGCTTGAAAAATGGAAACCGATATTTTCAAAAAATGAGCCCACCTTTATGGGTGAGGCTAAATAAAATTGCAAAAAATACCACATTTTCAACCCACCGGTCTAGGCTATTTATAAAAATTTCAAAAATTTTGATGGGGCCCACCATCCTGTTTTTATGATTTTTGTATTGGACTTAACTCGGATTGGGTCTAAAAAGTGATTTTTCTTAGCAAGGGGGTGAAAATTTGTGTCAAAAATTATGTTTTCAAGTTCTCGAGCGAATTGTGGAACCACTGAACTACTACCTATTCAAAAATAGCGACGTAACATTCAACAAGGGCTCAGGTCCTGTTCATATGGTCAAGATAACAATTCGGTGGTTAAAATCCTCAATTCCTGACTCCATTTCGGATCAAGAAAAAAATTCACTGTTGTCGAACCTAATCCTGCTGAACTATGATACATTTTTCAAACTTCAGCTGGATGTATGTGCTAAACTTCACACAAGTTTGGAATCCATAAAAAATTCTGTCGTCAGGATATGGGATCAATCTTCCCGGGAACGCGTGCGTACTTCGATCGAGTGGTGGAAACGAAGACTGCGGGCTCGCCTAGCGTTATAAGATTGACACTTTAAAAAGTGAATCATGTTTCTTATACAGAATTTCATGGGCTTTTCAGTGATTTAATTAGTTTTTCGAAATTCCATAAACTGGGTTCGCTACTGCGAGTGGTTCTTATAACATAACTTTAGCGACTACTAGGTACATACATATATAAACAAATATATGTAGTCACCAAGCACCCTTGTATCAGCCCAAAGATCACGTGATCTTGATATATGTATGTAAAGGTGCTTAGATAAGAACAACCCACTTTACATAGTTGTGTCGATAAGTTGAGATGATTTATTAGTAAAATTAGTCAATTTATTTCATATGTACAGATCTTTGCAAATTACCAAATAATTATGATTCATATCTTTTAGCATGCACGTAATAATGAATATTAAATTATTCAATCCGAGATTCATTAGAAATTCCGGTACGAGCAATTAGAAATGGATATGTCGCCATACCGAAATTTTTATAGCGATTATAGTATTTATCACGACTATCACCACCTCAGCAAAAAATAGGGTTGCCAAGTTCGCAAAATTTTTTAGCTCGAACATTAATTTTCGAACTTACTCTAAGGCTAGTATTTGACTTGTAATTTTGTTACAATGATGTTCCCGTGCGTGCACATGCGAAATCGTAATGAATACCCCCATTGTATGAAATTTCTCATTATTGACTAACTCAGGAATCCAGCAAAATAGTATGCCAACATTGCAAAATTATGTATATATTTGTAAAACCTGACAAATTGTTTGAAGACACAAAATTTGACACATATATAAATAAATTCAAAATTTTATTATCAATTTTTTTTGTATCAATATTTATGCCATTCTACCGTCCATCAAATTTGCATCCCAGTATAAGTTTCAAACCTTACTTTAATTATTCTATGAAAGGATGTACCATTAAGGCAAACTTAAGTAAATATTTAGTATAAACACATCACCTGTGTAAGCTCATTAAACTCGTGAAATTGGAAATGCTTATTTTGCTAAGTACTCATTGTTATTATTAATTTTATTTAGCAACTTTAAATTAGGAATTATGATTCTGCCAAGTTTTTTGCATCATTTGCATCGTCACAAGCTCTAAAAATTTCTTGAGGAATGTTATTTATTTGCTCCTCAAGTTTTGCATGCGAGTATGTAGATAAGAAAATATATGGATAAGTAGGAAGCCCCAAGTTTTTGATAACCTTAGCTATGATAAGCAACACCCTTAAAAATAATGCCATTCTTAAGAAAACAATTCATCCCGACATGTATAAACTTTAAAAAGTGCAGTTACAATCATATCCAGAAAGTAAACATTCATTGATTCTTTCGACATGGTTATAAATTTGCCCCCTATTGGTCATAAATATATTCATCACCTCTAGTAACAAATTTAGTACCAGTCGTGATAAATTTATAACCACTCGGTGAAAAATCTGTAAACATGGGGGTAGATCCATAAATATATGTTTTCTTTCTGGTTTAAATCGTAACCGAATTTTTTAGAGTGTATATACATACATAAATATTCTAATTAATTAATCCATACTTATCCAGTGGATCTGGTAGCGTAGCATTTTAGTAGATGGAAAAAGTTCCCATTGCCCAATGCAATGCAGCCCAGAACACGGCGAATCGTGTCCAACGGGTCACACAGATGGCACCCTTAGAAACGGAGGTCAGATTTTGGGAAGCAAAATCATCCTCATCCAAAATACGAGGATTATTAGACCGCGTTTCATCATCAGCCAAGGTGGCAGCCTTAGGAACAGGGGGAAAAGTAATCCGGACAAATAGACCAGGTGGGAATGTAGGGCGATCCGGGCAGCTCTCAAAAATTCGACAGGGTTTAGGTGTAGTGATTGGGAAGGAGTTATTATTTGGGGAGGTGGTGGTCGTGGTAGTTGGGGAGGGATTCATCTACTGGAAGGGATTAGGCTGGAAGGAGGGGTTGGATCGCCAGATGGGGTTAGTTCGGTTGAGGGGATTCGCATTTTGGGAGGGCTTTGAGTACGGGAACAGATTTGAGTGCGGGAAGGGATTTGACTGCGGGAAGGGATTTGACTGCGGGAAGGGATTTGACCCCGGGAGGGGATTTGACTGTGGGAAGGGAACTAAGATTTGACGGTGGATAATTGGGACGTGAAACGTAGGAGGGATATGCGGTTGTCGAACGTTTATCCCAGTTCCAATTTTTGGGACGTTAAAGTTCAATGAAGGTCTCACCATGACGAAAGGTTTCGGATGTCCAGATACTGCAGACAAGACGAGCACAAATATCCAGAGTATTTCTAAATATATACAAAATTTAAGTTTATGAGTGAAAGTCGTTTTACATACATACATACAGTCAATGGAAAAAGTATTGGCAATACCCACGCAAGCTAAATAAAATTGGTTATAACTTTGGCATGCGTTATCAAATTGGCATGAAACTTTGAACACATTTGATAAATCTAATGTAGTGTTGGATTATAATCGTGATTCCGATGTAAATCTAGTAAACATAACGCAATCCTGATTTTGACCTTAACGAGTCAGGTACGAACCTGCAAAAAGTATTGGCAACATGTGGCTAAATTAGTTACTCGACACAATTTTCTTAACCATCTTCCACATTTCCTTACGTAAGGTAATTAGGTGACAAAATATAACGCTAGCGACATTTTAAGTCTACAGTTGTGTTGTCTGGAGCCAAAATGGCGGCACTAAACCAGCTGTATTTGGCGCGGCGAGAAATATTCATGCCTCTTCCATAAAAATGCTTTGTTATCGAAAAATCAAAGAGAAAACATACTTTTCCATATTCACTATTGAAAACGTAGCAAAGAAATATAAAATGACGATCTCAGTTTCTACTTTTCGACGATGCGGTCGAAAAAGGTCACCTACGCCCAAAATCTACTGATGAATCAAGCAACAAATTACTCGAGATCGGAAGATTTTAGCCCCCAAATCCATGTTGAATTGCAGTACCAACTGTGGGGCAAACATATCATTCAATTTGGTTTTCACTAAAAAATTATGCCTTGGGGTTTCAGGCTCCAGTAGCCCGACCGACGAGAGAGTCCCCAAAGCGAACCACCTCAATAAATTGGGATGGGCTAAATATAAGCCTCAATTGACTTCCAATGAATGAAATAAAGTCTACTGGTCCGACATAGGCATATTTTACTTATTCGGAGCTCATTAATTGGTTCAAGTCTGGCGGATGCCATAAAAGGCTCAGAAATACGAAAACGTTCGTATAGCAGTTTAACACATAGGAGGATGGATTATGGTTTGGGGTTAAATGACCAGGTGGCGGCGTGTTTACCTGGTCATTATCGACAAAATCATGACCAGGGAGGTCTAATTAATCATTCCAAACGATAATTTGAAATTATTTGATAAAAACCTGACTTGGGGAGGAATTTTATATTCCAAAAATGCATTGACCCAAACAGCTACCCCAATTAACGATGCAAGTTTTTGTAGACCGAAAAGGTTACGCTTCTTTCGTTGGCTGCAC